TCCTGAGTGCTGGGATCAAAGGCGTGCGCCACCACCGCCGGGCCAAGATATCATTGTTTATGTGACTCTCGCTGATCTAGGGACAAAGTCACTGTGCCCCGGGTTAGGAGAACACAGGAAGTTCATCACTAGCAAAGGTGCAGGGCTGTAAAGAACCAATGCACATGCACAAACCGTTTAAACAAGGACAATGGCCAGGACCTTAGGTGGCCATTAGAAAAAGGTTCTGCAGGATTCACGTGGGAAAAATGCCTCTAGTAGAGCACCAGAAGACAGCCATATGCAATTTATTCCCAGATTTAGGGCTGGAGAGGAGGCTACGTGGTCAAGAGCACTTGCTGATCTTCCAGAGGACTGGAGTTCAGTTCCCAGCACCCATGTTGGCAGCTCACGACTGTCTGTAACCTCAGCTCCTGGGGATCTGATAGATGAGGCAGGATGCTGGTATATATGTGGCATGCATTCTCTCTCTCCTCCCTGCCCCCCCCACACCAAAAATATTTAAAAAAAAGGTTGCTAGATTTATAAAAATAGTCACCCTCATCTATATGACATATGTGGGAAAATCAGGTTGTTTCTCTCTCTCTCTTTTTTAAATCTTATTCATTCTTTGAGAATTTCACCCAATGTATTTTATAGAGGCTATTTCTTAATGGTGATCTTAGAAGCAATTTCCAAATTCCTTCCAAACTTTTTAAAATTTGAAACTTAAGTCTTAAATTGCAATGATAAGAACAATTAGGTTTCCACGGTGGACTTGCAAATATTTGCCATCTGGGGCTTGTATCACTTCTACCTTTCTCGCCCAAATGACATCTGACTTCTGCTTGAACCTCTCCAGTAATGAGGAACTCACTACTCTTTCCCCCATCCCCCAACCATTCTGCACAAGAAATGGAAATCTGGCCCCTTCAGCTTCTCCCAGTGACCAAGACCCTGCGTCCTAGCTCCGCAGAGAACAGATTAATTTACTCCTTGAGAACAAAGGTTCCGACACTGCGCATCCCTGCACCTGCCCCCCTCAGCAAGCATTAATGTCCGTTGTCCTCACAAACTCCTTTGCTTCTTTTGGTGTGCCGCCGGCAGTGACATCCTTAGATCCCAACTTTAATTCTGTGTCTCACCACGTGCCAGTCAGGCCATTGGGTCTTGAGTACACTCAACCTCTCATCAACTTTGGAGAACAAACCTAGACCCAGGAGCCAATGTTGTGTCTATCTTACACTGAACCCAAGAAGCCAAGTTGCTGGCAAGGTCACTCAAGCAGATCTGAGAACTAACGCAAGACCACAGACTCTCAGAACTCAGTGGAGTGGGTACACAAATGTCTGCCAAGTTCTTTTAGATGACATTTTGTGTATTTATTACATTCAAACATGTCTTTTTTTTTTCTTTTTTCTGCGACAGGGTTTCTCTGTGTTGTTTTGGTGCCTGTCCTGGATCTCACTCTGTAGCCCAGGCTGGCCTTGAACTCACAGAGATCCTCCTGCCTCTGCCTCCTGAGTGCTGGGACTAAAGGCGTGTGCCACCACCACCTGGCATCAAATATATCTTATTATGTGTGTTTGGGATGACTCAGTGGGTAAAGCCACCTTCTGACAACACTACAAACTGATTTTGATCCCCAGGAAGGAGAGAACCAACTCTTGAAAGTTGTTACCTGACTGTCACACATGAAATGGCATGTGTGTGCACACAGACACATAGACAGACAGACAGACAGACAGACAGACACACACACACACACACACACACACACACACACACACGAAAAGTACATGAAAAAAAAGTATGTACATAGAACATGAAAGAAGGATCCTGTGGTGTAGGGGGAATGAATTTTTTTGTTGTTGCTTTTGCTTGTTTTTTTTTTTTTTTTTTTTTTTTTTTTGTTTTGTTTTGTTTTGAGACAAGGTCTCACTTTATAGCTAGCTCTGGCTGGCCTGAAATTTGCTTTGTAGACCAGGCTGGCCTTGAACTCACTGTAGCTGAGGATGACCTTGAGCTTTAGATCTTCCTACCTCACCTTCCAAATTCTGGGATTAGAGGCATCTACCATCATGCCCAGTTTGTGTGGTGCTGCGGACGAGCTACATCCCCAGCCCCTATTCCCAGGATATCAGCATGTCCTGAGACAGCAGTGACTTAGTTCCAGGCGGGGACTCTCAGTAAGGTCTAGAGGGCCTGGTCAGTTGAGCCACAGAGCACAGAGCTCATCAAATCCTTGGATCTGGCCAGGCGGCGGCGGCGGCGGCGGCGGCGGCGGCGGCAGCGGCGGCGGCGGCAGCGGCGGCGGTGGCAGCAGCGGCGGTGGCACACGCCTTTAATCCCAGCACTCGGGAGGCAGAGCCAAGCAGATCTCTGTGAGTTTGAAGCCAGCCTTGTCTACAGAGTGAGATCCAGGACAGGCACCAAAGCTATGCAGAGAAACTCTGGCTCAAAAAACAAAACGAAACAAAACAAAAAAACAAAACAAAACAATCCTTGGATCTATGTGCGGGAGGTACAAGGGAGGTCCTAACCATCCGGATCCTGTCCCAAGCCTGGAGAGTTCTCATAAAGACTGGCATTGCTACCAGCCACCCCACTCTGCGCAAGCCCAACATCCTGGGCTTTCTGCAGCTCGGACTTCCCTTGAGTCCTTGGCTTTGATTGGGGGAACTCTTGCCAAACTTCCCCACCCAAGAAGCCTTCTTCTCAGTTTGGGAGGCTCTCCTGCTGCATGCTGGGCTAAGCCTTGGCCTGGCTCCCAGTTGGCCCTTACTGCACTTCTCAGCACCTGCTCCATGCTCTGCACAAGGCAGTAGAGGGTGAGGGAGTGTGTGTGTGTGTGTGTGTGTGTGTGTGTGTGTGTGTGTGTGTATGACAGGCTAGATGGCATGTGAAGAAAGCCAGTCATATATGTATATGTATATGCATATGCATATGCATATATGAAACAGGGTCTCTCTATGTAGTTCTGGCTGTCCTGGAACTTTCATGTAGCCCAGGCTGGCCTCAAACTCATAAAGATCTGCCTGTCTCTACCTCCTGAGTGCTGGAATTAAAGTTGCCACCACATCCGGCAAGTCTTCTATATTTTTTTAATTAGGAAAAACATTTTTTAAATTATGTTTATGGGTGTTTTGCCTGCATATATTATGTGTGCCACATGCATGCTGGTTGCCACCGAGGCCTGAAGAGGGTGTCAGATCCCATGGTACTGGGATTTAAGATGGTTATGAACGGTCATGTGGGTACTAGGAATTGAACCTGGATCCTCTGGAGGAGCCAGTGCTCTTAACCACTGAGCCATCTCTCCAGCCCCCTCACCCTAGCATCTGACTCTCTGAGTCTCAGTGTCCACACCTGTAATGTGGGAATGCTTCCTTCTATAGCTCAACCTGGTTCTCAGGGCCTTCATGAGGCTGAGTGGGAAGTGAAAATGCTCAGGGTGAGTCATTATTGTGGTCTGACCCTGTGGCCCCAGCCTCTATTCTGGTGTCCCATCCCAGGGGTATTCCCAGCCTGCTGGGATGGACTGGGTGCTCAGGTCTTGACACCTGCATTAAAAATTAAGCAAAAGCACCAACCAGGAGAGGTAGGAACAGGTGTAAACTTAGCCAAAAAGCCGCTCTCTGTCCTGCTAACAGGCAGTGTGATGGACAGAACCCAGCAAACGCACACAGGTCCAGGGCAGACATGCCAGGCTGTTTGAGGCAACAAGCATGAAGGGCCTTGCAGCCACTGGAAGCCAGGAATGGTAGCCCATGCCTATAATTTCAACATCGGGGAAGCTAAGGAAAACTGAAAGTTTGAGGCCAACCTGGGCTATGTATTGAGACCTTTTCTCAAAAACTAAACAAAAACATACAGCCTGGCATGATGGGACATGCTGGTAATCCCAGCACTTGAGAGGGAGAGGCAGGTGGATTAGTAGTTCAAGGCCAGTCTTGGCTACACATCCAATTTGAGGGCAGCCTGGGCTACATAAGACCCTATCACAAACAAAAGGGGGTAGAAAAACAAAACAAATAATAAAAAGAAGTCATTGGAAGTGCTGGGGAGGGAGCAGAGAGCAAGAGAGAGACACTGGCAAAGCTGAAGACAGACATACACAGATGACAGACAGAAGAGCTGACGTTTCATTGCACAGTTAGTCATTTTCACACGGGGGGCTGGTCAAGTGCAAGGTCCGTCCGTCCGTCCCCACCTGGCCGGGACAGAGGGACTGGCAGAGAGCAACAGGAAATAGGACCAGGACTCCAGGGTCCCTGTTCCCTTCTCTGGGCCTCCAGCTGTCCTCTCTGTAGACATGGTCCTGGATCTAGGCTCCAACCTCCTGGGGCTTCTCAGACCTCAAGGGGCAGAAACCTGAGTCAGTCTCTTGGGCCCTAACCCAGCTTCAGGTCCCTGGGGGAGGGACAGGAAGGGAGGAGAGAGCTGCAGGAGACTACTGATCGCCTCCCTCTTTGGCCCCTCCCAGCTACCCTAAGGGCAGCCCACGCACTGCTCTGAGCTTGCAAGAGGCCCTGACCGCTTCCCAGGCTCTAAAGGGCGCAGTGATCCGAGGCGAAACTCCGTTAAGGGGCAGGCTGTGTCTTAACAACCCTTGGGCGGACCTGGAGTTTAGGTTTCCAACAGGTCTCAAGCGATGCTAGCGCTGCAAGACAGTGGACCACTCAGATTGCGGGCCTTAGACCTTAGCCCAAGACTCAGAGAGGTCAAGTGTCCGGTCCTCAACCACACAGTGACAGCCCCACACTTAAGACCATCTGCCACAGACACACCAGTCATCTCCGCGCCGCCGGGACAGCAGAGATCAGCTTCAGTTTTGCCTGGGGCTGAGTGTGTCAACTCGGCTGCTGGCTGCCGGGTTGGCTCGGCGCGGGCGGGGACAGATCATCGCCGTCCCTGCACCCGGGTCTCCGTGCCAGTCCCCGATTGTTGTCCATCCGGTGTCCTCTGTCGACCCTCTGAACGCCCCCCAAGGCAGACCTCCGTGTCCCAGCGCCCAGTACCTTTTCCGCGCGCTTGCAGCGGCTGGGTCGGCTGTGCCTGCAGCCCATCCTGCTTCGTGCGTCCCGCCGGCTGTGACTCTCAACCACCCCGAGCTGCAGCCGCGCCGGCTACACGCCTTAAATGCCGGAAGAGCAGGGCCTGCGCGGGGCCGGGGCTGGGGCCGGGCCAGGGCAGGTGCCAAAGGCGCTCCACGCCAGGAGCACCTGCGGCGGCCTGGGCGCGAGGGATCCCAAAAAGCAACAAATAGTTCTCAAGACCTACTGCTGAGAAAGAGCTGAAGGGGAAAATAATTAAAACAGGCATGGTGGTGCATAACTGTAATGCCAGTTCTGGGGAGGTGGTGTCAGGAGGATCGCAAGTTTGAGGACAATCTTGGGGCATATAGGGAGTTCAAGGTCAGGCTGGGCTATATGATACCCTGTCCCTAAGGTGTAGCCAGGTCGTTTGTGCAAAATGGTTAATCTCCCATCACCCACATCCTGTGGCTCACAACTGCGTGTAAATCCAGCTATAAGGCTCAGAGGGTAAAGGGAGTTGCCTCCAAACATGGCCTGGACCCACACGTGGAAGGAGAGGATGAACATGCATGCCATGGCACACACACACACTGCCCTCTCCCCATAAATAAATAAATCTAATATATTTTTTTTAAACTGAAAAGATCAATCAAGGTGCTCACATTTGTAGTTCCAGCACTTGGGAGGTTGAGGCAAGCGGATAGCCACAAGTTGGAGGTCTGTTTGGGCTACAGAGTGGGACCTTGCCTTGAAAGAAAATTAATTAAAATTAAAAAGTGGGCTGACAAGATGGCTCAGTGAGTAGAATTGCTTGCTACTAAGCTGATGATTTGAGTTCAGTTCCCAGGACCCACATCATGCAAGGAGAGGACCAACTCCTGAAATTTGTCCTCTGACCTCCATAGGTGGGCTATGCACACACTTCCCTCCCTCCTCTCTCTGTCTCTCTCTCACTCAATAAATAAATAAGTGGAATAAAAATACACTTCAAGTCGGGCGGTGGTGGCACACACCTTTGATACCAGCACTCGGGAGGCAGAGCCAGGTGGATCTCTGTGGGTTTGAGGCCAGCCTGGTCTACAAAGTGAGATCCAGGTCAGGCTTCAAAGCTACACAGAGAAACCCTGTCTCAACAACCCCCCCCCCCAAATACACTTCAAGAGTGACGGTGTTAGTAAGGCCCAGAGTAGAATGCTCTCCCAAACCTGGCTTTTGTAACACCCTGCAAACCAATGACACCCCCTTTCACAAGGCTGGGTCAATAGCTTTTCCCAGCTCACAAGATCTGTGACATGTTCTTCTCTCCTCGGGACAGCAACCTTGCCAGCAGACTTGGATGCAGCAGGAACAGGGACAATAGGGTCAGAATCTGGGACAAGGAGCTCTTATCTGTCTCCTCTGAGCTACTCCCTGAGATTCTGAGAGCAGCGTATGGGAAGACAATAGCAGCTTTGACAATCAGCTCTGAAGAGTTCTAGATGCTGGTTAGAAAATTAGTGTCAGGGTCGCAAACTCTTTGAAAGGTGTATTGATAAAAGAGACTCAACAGGATGAATAACACAAGACCTCCCAAGGCAGTGCTGCTCCACAGAGCATAAAACAACAGGGAGCTGGGCCTGGTGGCTCATGCCTGTAGCTCAAACACCAGCGAGGCTGAGGTGGGGGGGATCACTGTGAGTTCCAGGCAAGCCTGTACTACATAATGAAACCCTGTGTCTTAGTCACTTTTCTATTGCTGTGAAGAGACACCATGACCAAGTAACTCTTATAAAAAGAAATCAAACAATCGAGGGCTGGCTTACAGTGTCAGAGGCTTAGTCCATTATCATCATGGCAGGGAGCTTGATGGTGCTGGAGCAGTAGCAGAGAGTGCTACATCCTGATCTATGGAAGTCTCCCCAGGTGCCTGCCCTGAAGACATTTCTACCAGGGTCCAGAACAGAAGCTACAATCGGTTAAGGATTCTAATCTGAGGGGTATCAAATGAATCTAAGCACTCGGAGTTCTTTAGTCCATTCACTTTATTCTTCTATGTCAAATTTTATCTACACTGCTTATTTTCTGTTCTCATCTTAGCTCCTCTCAGTCCCTCCTGTTCTCAGTCCCTCCTGCTGTTCTATCATCATTCTATCTAGTTCTTTCCATCTCCGTCCTCATCTTTATTCTTCTAAGTCAATCCTCCCTATGCTGTGAGGAAACCAATATATATACACAAGCAGTAATTCTTTGGCAATGCAATGCGAGGTTTGAAGTTTTCAGAGTCGCAGAGAGAGGTGATAAGGATCCACACAGAGGTCTGAAGTTTTCAGAGTGACAGAGACAGGTGATAAGGATCCACACATAAAGCAATAATTCTCAGCTTCCAATTACAAACCAAAGCGGGGAGTTTGACTAAAAGGGGAGTTCTCTGGTAGGGTCAGCTAAAGGCTAAGATCAATTAGGGAATTCTAAATAGTAATTTATGTGCTCAAACTATAATCTAGAAATGGCTAGGTAGAATGTTAGGGGTCTATAAACGTCATTAAGTCACCAGAAAAGTAAAACTGTCATTATTATTATCATTATTTTTGGTTTTTCGAGACAGGGTTTCTCTGGGTAGCTTTGGAGCCTGTCCTGGATCTCGCTCTTTAGACCAGGCTGGACTTCAAACTCACAGAGATCCGCCTGGTTCTGCCTCCTGGGTGCTGGGATTAAAGGCATGCACCACCACCATCCAGCTGTCTTTATTTTCTAAAGTGCTGCAGCTTTTTCCTCTGTTCATCCTAGCTGCAGCCACTTTTTGGGAGGGCAGGGAGGGGGGGGAGTATGCTTGGTTGCTAAGCAACCTACATCAGAGCCTGTAGCATTTGCTTAGTAAAAGCACTTTCACTGGGAGTAATTGCTAAAGGGGGGAATCTAGGAATAGCACCTGGCTGAAGAGGATTAAAACTTAATTTGCACAAGAAATGAAACTTGGCACCTATCCCCTGCCTTACCTTGATGGCAATCTCCTTGGGTCAGTGGGAAGTAACTACCTTAACTCAGTAACTAGCAGATGGCTGAAACATCATCCCAGAAATGTAAGCAGTAAATCTCTTAAATTAGGGTCTTGTGTAAATAACCTGAGATGAAGGTAAAGAGTTGAGGATTTAATTGTTAGTCGTTATTTTCTCTTATCTGTAAGTGAGATGAGCTAATGTTTATCTATCTGCATTTGTCCTTGGATAAAAAGGTATCTTAGCTGAAATACTTTTGTCTGGAGAATGGCCCTGGTCAGAGATGTGTTAATGAAAAATAAACACAGCTGGGGAAAGTTATCCAATTACCCCAAATGTATAGGGAAAGTTGTGCCCATAAGATTGAGATGTAGGTGGGCGGTGGTGGCGCACACCTTTAATCCCATCACTCTGGGAGGCAGAACCAGGCAGATCTCTGTGAGTTCGAGGCCAGCCTGGTCTGCAGAGCAAGATTCAGGACAGGCACCAAAACTTCACAGAAAAACCCTGTCTCGAAAAGACTAAAATAATAATAATGATAATAATAATAATGATAATAATAATAATAATAAAAAAATAAAAGATTGAGATGTAATCATGAGATTACATGTATACATTACACGGAAATGCATGGTAAATGGGGAGAATCATAACTGTTATTGCACAAGAAATTTATAACAAGAAACAGCCAATTCATTCAAAAGGCAGTAATTCCATAATGCCTTGCATGGCTTCCTCTAACAGAACGCTTAGTTCTGATAGGTTGACCTTCTGAACTCTAGTTGTCACTTACTCTATACTCCCATGGTCTTTTGCTACTAGTAGCTCTCAATACTGATCTTCGGTGTGTGTGTGTGTGTGTGTGTGTGTGTGTGTGTGTGTGTGTGTGTGTGTGTGTAGGGAGTGGGGGGGATGGGGGGAGGGACTGGGCCTGACATGGGCTTTTGAAATCTCCAAACCCACCCCCAGTGACACACCTCCTCCAACAAGGCCACGCCTCCTAATTCTTCCTAAACAGTCCAGCAACTGAGAGCCAAATATTCTAATGTGGGAGCTTATGGGGGCCATTCATTCAAATCACTACAGAGATGTTTATTAAAGTAGGCAAAGTGTAGGGCAAGAGGGGTTTGAAACCAAGCTTGACGACTCAAATTCAATCCCCAGGACCCACACAGTGGAGGGAGAGAACTGACTTCCCCCATAAGCTGTCCTCTGACTTCCACATGCACCTTATGGTTCAGAACGACCTAGTGACTGACCTACCACGTGCTGTTTTGTTTTGTTTTCTTTTTTTAAAAAAGATGTTTGCGGGCTGGAGAGATGGCTCAGCAGTTAAGAGCACTGACTACTCTTCCAGAGGTCATGAGTTCAATTCCCAGCAACCACATGGTGACTCACAACCACCTGTAATGAGATCTGGTGCCCTCTTCTGGCCTGCAAGGACACATGCAGACAGAATACTGTATACATAATAAATAAAAAAAAAAAAAAAAAAAAAAGATGTTTGCTTTATGTGTATGAGCGCTTTGCCTGTATGTGTGTATATGCACTGCTTGCATGTCTGGTATCTGTAGAGGTCAGAAGAGCACATCAGGTCCCCTGGACCTGGAGGTGGGGATGGTTGTGAGCTGCATGTGGACACTGAGAAGTAAATCTGGGTCCTTCACAAGAGCAGCAAGTGCTCTTAACTGCTGAGCCATCTCTCAAGCCTCGTTCTTTCTTTCTATTAAAAAAACATTCTGGGTGGTGGTGGTACACAATCCCAGCACTTGGGAGGCAGAGACAGGTGGATCTGTGTAAGTTCAAGGCCAGCTTGGTCTACAAAGAGAGTTCCAGAACAGCCAGAGCTGTTACACAGAGAAACCCTGTCTTGAACACCCCCCTGAAAGCATTATATTTATTATCATCATTATCATAAATATTATTATAATAAAGAGTTATTATTATAATGATAAATGCAATACTTTTAATAAATGTAGTTTTATAATTTGTGTGTGTGTGTGTGTGTGTGTGTGTGTGTGTGTGTGTGACGGAACAACTTGAGGGGGTGGGCCAGTTCCCTCCTTTGGTCATGTGGGTACTGGGGATTGAACTCAGGTCATCAGCCT